AATACAGATCCATTTCTGATTAATGTATTGTTAAATAATACTTTCGTGGTGCAAGCCTTAGTAGATAATGGATGTCTGCGTTCTGGAATCATCAGCGATGAACTAACTGAACGATTGAACTTGCCGCGCATAATAATACCCCCACGAGCTCTTGAGACAGCAGAGAATTATTCGAGGACTAAACCTGTTTTTAACTACATAACCCACCTTTCGCTCGACCTCGATGGCTTTCATATACATAAACTTTGGCTGTATGTCGTTCCTTCGAGCATTCACAAGATGATTCTAGGAAAAAAGTGGCTTGAAGCCCAACACGCAATAGTTTATTCAAATGACCAACGTCTTGAGCTCATAAAAGGAAACATGAATATATATAGTTTTCAGAGATGGAGACAAAATCTGAGACAAGTGCCCCATCTAAAATATTCATCAACTAAAGATTTGATGTCGATGAGCAACTCAGTGCCAATCGGCAAAATCACGATAGAGGATATAAGTAAAGCACTCCGTGAAAACCCTACTCTCTCGGAAAATGACGCCAAAGACCGTCTACCGGAAAAAGTGAAGGACTTCGCCCAACTTTTTGCTGATAGCACCGGAGCAAATAACCTACCCCCATTGAGAGCTAACTTAGATCACGCAATCAACCTTCGTTTAGAGAATGGAAAGCCTTTGCCACTCCCGTGGGGGCCTCTATACAGCAAGTGCCGAGAAGAGCTTTTAGTGTTGCGGAAAACCCTTACAGACCTTTTAGAGAAAGGATAGATAAGGCCGAGCAGTTCCCCGGCAGCATCCCCGGTATTATTTGCGAGAAAGCCTAATGGCGGCCTTCGCTTTTGTGTGGATTACCGTGGTTTAAACGCAATAACGATTCCGGACCGCTACCCCATCCCACTTTTTAAGGGGATATTACGGCAGGTTTCTAAATACAGATGGTTCACGAAACTGGACGTCAAATCGGCTTTCCATCGCCTCCGAATAAGGAAAGGAGACGAGTGGATGACAGCTTTTAGGTGTTGCCTAGGACTATATGAGTGGCTGGTGACTCCATTCGGATTGATAAATGCGCCAGCCTCATTCCAGCGGTACATTAATGAAAAGTTACGTAATCATTTGGACGTGGATGTTACTGTATACATGGACGATATTTTGGTGTATACCGATGGAAGTGAGGATAATCACTGGGAGATAGTTCGGAGTGTTCTCTCGAAGCTAAAAGATGCAGGGTTATATTTAGACATCGAGCTGCAAGGTCTGTGGGAGCAAGCCACTGCGAAGGATAAAATCTGACAGCGGGCCTGTGAAGCTGTAAAATTAGGGGAAAGAAGCTTTCTACCCGATATTGCGCACGAATTGAAGGCCAATATTGCAGAATTTACAGTAGCCGTAGATGGTCTCTTACGGGGAAGAGAGAATCGTATGTGGGTGCCAGATTATGAACCTCTCCGAATAGCCATCATGCAGCAAACACACGATAGTTATCTGACAGGCCACCCAGGTAGAGATACTATGATCGGAATTCTATTGCGCCGATGGTTTTGGGCAAAAGAGAGAGAATCGGTTCGTCGGTTTGTCAGGAACTGCGATGTATGTGGACGTTCCACAATCTAGCGAGAGGCTAAAGCAGGCTTCTTGAAGTCATTAACGATTCCTGAACGCATTGGCAATAAACTTACCTTTCGACATACGAAAGCCCAAGCTTTATTTATCGGAACTGTTACACTAGTTATCATATTTACACAGGAGGAAACCAAATTCGGTAAAAACCCCCCACAACTGTCTATCTCGTGTCTATTTGTTTTCAGAGGTTTCCTACAGGAAGTGCGTTTCTACTGTACGTCCAGTGTGAATACCGTCCTATCCTTTTCCTGATCGCTCAATTCTTTCGCTGACTGCTGTCTGAACTTCTTTCAAAAGCCGGAACTGTTCGAGCCAGCCGTTTGTAAGTATCCACTCTGTAATTCTCTTCATGTCTTCCGGGCTGTTCATCATAGCTTCGAAAGACCTATCTTTTGCCCGTTGCAGCACCTCTCCTCTTCCCTTAGTCCATTGAGGATAAGCCATGACCATATGTTTCACGTTTTGTGACGGACATCCACACTGGCACTTTGGATTTGCCACTCCAGGGACCTTTCTTCTATAAAGATAAGAGTTAAGGCCGATATGCCCACTTCTCATCTGTATTGCAATACTACTTTGGGCCCTGCTCGGGTTTCGGTGGATGTTAGAGGTTGTGTTTCTGTAGGTGATTCTTTTTCTACCTGTTCACTTATCGGTGTTTATACTTGCTGCTTTCCAATGGAAATATATATATTATAACACAAGGAGATGTGGAGGGTGTGTGGGCACCATCAGATCAGGGACTACGCGAAACAAATCGATGCTTTGCGCTGGAAATGGAGAGATAGAGTGTTGTAGACGTACGGGCCCTCCATTTCATCTTGGTTCCCGAAACGATCTTGTGTGTATCTAAGAGGTCAGAGTTAGATATAGGATGGCGCTTCAGGCTACCTAATAGATAGAGGAGCGGCTGCATGGCGTGGGCACAAGGAGGTTATTATGGGTTTTCTATTTCCACATGGCGTCATATTCGTTCAAACTGTGGCTTAGGCTCCGTATCGCTTACACTTGCACTTTTTTTGCATCAGATTCAAATGGTGTATGCAGCTATCTAGCTATAGAGCAATATCAGAGAAAATTTTATAATAGATGACTCAATGTAAACGGAGAGCACTCATGCCTCAGATTTCATCAGCAAGTACCACTGCGAAGTTGTGGTAGCGCTAAGGTACCACGTATATGTGTTCAGTCTTTGTCCTCCCCATTTCTCCTCTCGTCTAAGTGAAAGCCCTTATAAATAGAGGTGAATAGCTTGACTATGTTTAGCAAATTACATTAGTAGACCAATTTCACCCCTCGCAATTCTTAGAGGCTTTCCATGCATGGACTGTAGCTGGTAGATTTCCAATTGTAGCTCAATTGATCTGGGTCCGCACGAATGATCAGAACACACTAGATTTTACATAATTTCTGTACCATGCCAAGTCTGGCCTCCAAAAGAACTCACGATAAACGAGCCGGAGCAGAAAATCCTCCTCTGCTTCGTCTACTGCGCGCGCAGTGCCTTGAAGTTTTCGGTGTACAAAATTTCGTGGTCTTGCTAGATACTTGCATTGTCTGAACCTTGTAACCCCTCATCGTCGCGTTGGATTGTTTTCGTCATCGGAAATCTTCAGTCTGTCCAAAGAGTATGATCCTCTAGCCTTGAGCGCCCAAATTGTCTCCACTGATTTACGCTCCAGATCTATCATTTATTTCCTCATCATGATTTAAATTAGCGGTTAGTGAAATGGTTTTAGGGTTGTCATAAGTTCAGGTTCGTGCGGTAGAGTGTCGGCGTATTTGATCTAAGAATGTAGAATCTAACGGTTGACCGGGTACCGTCTCCAACCCAATTGAGGCTAATCGACGAATCACGCGTTGACGGTTGCGAGATTTTCTAACGCTTTAGTGCGTTGACGGAGTGAACAGGCGGTTTTGGGGACTGATAGGTCGATGACATTCTCACTAACCCGAAAATCCATCAGATTAAATTGAGTCCACCTTTATTCGTGATTGAATCTCGGCCCTAGCTTCAGTTGCCAACCCACGGTTTGCAGCCTTCTTCCTGCTGGAACAAGGTGAATTTTGTGCAAGACATGAGGCAGGTAGCGAGATGAAGGCTAGGCATGCCCACCATTACATCGGCTCTCATGGCAGTTGAGCTTGGCATGGTTACCACGCTAGTGTAGTTTGGAATGGTTTTGTTACTCGGGTCAGGGAAGGGTTTTCTGCTTACTACTGGCCAGGTCGTGCTCAAACTCCGTACAGAGTGCGTTGTAACCTCTGAGTGAGAACAAGAAGATTAAAAAAGCTGAATAATAGTATTCTTCGACACATAGATAAACAGAACGGAGAGAGTGGCCGAGGCCCGATGGAAATGGATCATCGCTTAAATGTCTCATGATGGAAGTACCGAGCCAGCCATGCCCTTTTAATGCCGGCCTCAAAAGCGCATCACTGTAGTCTTCAGCCATAACTGACTTTCATCTGCCGCTCGCACTTCAACGAACAAGGTCATGATGCGCAACATGGTTCTCGAAATCTGTATCATTAAATCAAATCGAAAACTCACTTGGCCCTAGACCTTTTTCCCATTCTCCACTCTCATCTGACTTTCCTACTATCTGTCCTACTATGTCCGACATATGTCTCAAAAATGGTTCCTTCGTAATCTAATGTTCTTCCCAGGGTAGCTACAGGCTCCATCATACATGACGCAGATTTCGTCAAAGACTAACACGGCAATTTGAGATATAAGACTGTTGAGGCTTCCCGAGGTCATCTTTCATTACACATTCAATCTCTGGCTTTGCGAACCAACTTAATTGAGATAACAGTCAAGGCCGTACAATGAGAAAGAAACGCTCAATATCCCATTCACTAGTCTAGTGGCCTCTAGTACAGGTATCTAAGGCTAATCATAAAGTTCATGAGATTTGTGGAGCAATAATATTTGTAAATTATGCTTCTACAAATTCAATGCAAAATCAACTGAATCCTTCTACATTTATGTCTGAAAGATTACCTTACACCTTAAAATTGACTCCTTCGACAATTTGCTTTTTTCTTTGATAAAGATTCCTGCAGTCCATCCAATATACCTACTCCACTTTTGTATTGTTAAGTATTAGCCAACTTTAACTCATTAGACAGTCCTTATTCTATATCTAGTCCCAAGATTCGCATAAGTTTGGGCGTATGTTTTTCAATATGGTTATATCTTTGCGTTAAAATAGTTGCTTCGATTTTCCTCATTTTCTACTTCTGCACTTCTGGAGGTCATCGTTAGCCATCAACGTTCGCCGATAAATTTCATATCCAGGTGCGTCGTCATATATTTAGTAGCTTGACATTGCATGCTTACATTATATAGTGACCGCTATAGCCGTATTGCCATTATGCAGTGCATTTTTGCATTTCTCTTGAATCCGCTGCAAAACTCGCTATACCCGGAGCGTCTAGTTGTTGCGAGTGGCGACCCAACGAGTCTACACTATGGCGTTTATGAAAACAATGATCGTGGGAGTTTTCCGCATGTTAGCTCTTCGGATATATTCATGACTCAGGCCAAAGTCACTATTCCTGGCACATATGTGAGGTTATTTTGCTCCTTCAAGTTGAATAGTCAAGCTTTGGTGGAAAAGGTCGTCAAAGGGCTGGAAAATATCACGCACAACTCCCATCGGAACTTTGGCACGACAAGCATTATGGAAGGCGAATGTCTGAACTCTATTACGAAATATGCTAAGCATGGTCACTATCCGATTACTAAATCAAACGTTCAGAAAAAAAGGGCCTGTACTGATCTTGTCCTTGTCAATTTGGCCTCTCGGGATTTAATAGAAATAAGTATTGATCAAAGACCTTCTTATGAGTCAGGATCTAGAGTGCCGGTCCTTGTCAAAGCTGCTTCAGAAATATCATTGAGATTTGTAGTCCCGGGCGACCATTTTTTCAAAGGATATGATCTAGATTTTGAAGAAGCTCTTGCTTGGTACCGAGGCAATCTTCATGTGTTGAGGCGAGATGCAATAGACCTACCGTGGTACTCCGTTACGAGTATCAAACCTAGGCCCGAGAATGGTGCGGTAATCATTGATTTTTTGCTCAGAAATATCCAGCCCTTTATTGCCATGAATGGCGACTTTGCGGTCGGTATAAAGAAATCCGAAACGACGGCTTTTGAACCTGCGGTGAAAGCTTTGAATAATCTCAATCTAGACTCTTCGGATTCTCTCTTGCGCGCTGCTTACTCCCAAAAGGATATCCTGCCACTTATTGCCTCGTATCCTACAGGCTTCATGGGACATGATTTACTTCACATCCTGGAAGCAAGAAGACCACCTCGCAAGAAGCAAAGAATTAATCAGCGCACAAAATTCAACTTATCCGTAGAATTAGGTGTGGCTTAGCTCTATTTTGTCGTCACCAATGTATCTGGGTAGTCCACACAGGGCTCAGGGGGTCTTGAAAATTTACACGAAATATAATGGCGCGATAGATAGATAATAAAATTTATTCGCCCATTCAGTATTGCTAGCTCCATTCCAAATATTGTGCCTCCGCAGTAATAAGAAGGTTAATATCTGATCTCACTAATAAACCATACAGCTTCGTAGGCCACATGACTCAAAATTTATCTCATCACTGATAAATATGCACTCCAATGCTGAAAGGGGATTTCTCTAGATATGATTAATTGGTTCTTGAGGGACTAGTCGAAATAATTGGGGCTATCAGGTGGGTCATGTTGATGATAAATAAGTGACTGTAAATCGTGTGCTTGGTCTCACTCCGGCAGTTGCTTGCTTAATTGTGCTCCATAACGTTAAGCCTAAGGGGTCATTATTTCCTCAATTAGTTACGTCAGTACGTGCCATGGTACTCGAGATTGGCCACTCATTATTCTAATACAACATGATCGCATTCAATTATTTGTGAAGAATACATCACTTTTTCACGAAAAGCGGCACCACGTTTCATGAAGGTTATTTCATCGTATTGATAATTGTTATCATCTTAACAGTCCATTATTAGCCGACTACGCAAAAAATTTCGTTTCGCTTCGGCATGGCGAGTTGGGAAGCCAGTAGTGAGGTTCCGAGCGCGCATTGTATACTTAGTATACAATGGGTGTGGGTGTAAGATTGGGGTGATATCACGTGGTGTCTCGTGGCTCCTAACTACATCGGATCTTGTGTAGAGCTTGAGACTAATACGTGAATTCTACATCCTCTAAGTGTAGGATATCTCTACGCCTATATACATCAATCCCTCCTTACCCCTCAATGCTGGAGTGATTTATCATTATGATTATGTAATGTTATTATGCGACTTCCCATAACCCTGTAAGTCTTTTCCGGATCCACAGTAGTATGGATCTCGCGGCTGCAAACTTTATTCACGGCACCACCATAACCTGTCATTGGTAGCAGAATAGCCGCAATTACGGCTGTAGAGTCTGTTACAATCTCTACAGGCTTTAACATGGATAACTTGTGGTAAATAGGGGGTTTCTTAAACAAGGTTCGCGGCAGACTGATGATAGCAGGTACTAGCCCAACTGCGGCACTGATGGCAGAGGTAGATGGGGCCACTGACGCCCTCAAGTCGAACGCATTATGACTAAAATCGACAATGAAAGCGACACCAATGGAAGAAAGGATGCAAGCCTTAGAGTAGGCGGTAGGATGGCAAGACTGAACACCTGTACGCGGTGTCCTCTACGAACCTGAGAGTGAAATATTCTCCCAGAGCCAAGTTCAGTCAAATTTCGCAATATCAAAGAAGTTGGCCCACGAGGCAAAATTTAAAATTACTCCACCACGTCGTTTTTCCGCTCCCAACGAGTTTGACGTCTACCTAAGCTTTATCAAGTCTACAAGTACGACCTAGTACATCCTCATCCCAATGACCACACCTCTCTTCGACCTTCTCTGGTCTCAGTTGACCACCAAATACACGCCCACGCCGATATTTATACCCGACGGAGGAAGCAAAGCGTGGCGCACAAATCTGGGAGACAGTTCTTTGGGATGGAAGTGAGAGGGATCAGGACAAGTTTACAAGATGATGCAAAGGAAGGATATAACCTTGAAGGGAGTCAAATTCCGAATTTTGGCAAGCAGTTTTACGAATTGAGCTTTGTGCGCGCCAAGACTTCGCTTGCGAGAGTGCAGCTGACACTATAAACACAAGCCAACGATGGAAGGTGTTGTGGTCCGCCTCCTGGTGGTGTTCTCTGGTATGGTTTGAGTAGCCTGGGCACCTACTCCACTTGGGAAAAAGACACCTCAGATCACATATCGCGCGGAGAAAAGTTGAAAGATGATGGAGGCATGTCTGGATAACTCAGGGTTTTTGAGACGTTCCCCTAAGTGGGTATCGACGGATGAGGGCTGACTTGGGATGAAGAAAAAGCCACCATAACTTCGCAGTGGTACTTGCAAATGAAATCTGAGGCATGAGTGCTCTTCCTTTACGTTGAATCATCTATTCTGTACTTTTCTTTGATATTGTGTCATAGCTAGATAGTTGCATACGCAATTAAAATCTGATGCAAAAAAAAAAAAAAAAAAGAGTAGGCGGTAACGAAGAACCTCGAGGAGTCAGTGCGCAAGACTGCTCCTCAGTTGACGCAAGGAATGAGAAGTCGACCCACTTACGCCTCAGTTGTTACACCTCCAGCGCCTAAAGCGGCAGTAAGAATAAAAACAAGGAGCGGATAAGATGCAGCCAGCAGAGCTGCTTATCACAGCAAAGATACATATCGAGGGAGCAGACGCCGGATGGCAATTGCGGAGTAATGATACTGAGGTGTTGGTGCAGTGCGTCTCCCAGCGAGACGCTGCCTTGAAAATGACGCAGCCAAAGGAGTTCTGCATCCTAAAGTATGATCATCCTGTTGAAAGTTTGGGGGTTCCTTTGGGGATAATGATACAAGAGGGGAAAACACCGTCAATAGCAGCTTGATTTACCAAATTAATTTGGGGACAAAATTTTGGATTTCCGAAATCCAAATTAAGAGACTACGTGTAAAAGGTTTAAGGAATTCAGAAGTACTTGAAGTCAAAAACGCAATGGGAATGAATAATTTCTCCTTGGGAAGCTAAACTACTGTATCGTATCCTGTCCTTTAGGTCTTCCCCGTACGCTATTATTAACTCCCCCCTTTACCATATGAGAATACTCCTTTCTCCCGGCTTTCTCCCTTGGCCCCCGAGAATCATCCTTTCTCCCGGCACAACTCTTCTCCTGTATCATACACTTCATCTGATACGTACCCCCTTTGATACCCCCTTAGCGCCCCTTTCGTCTATCCAGTAGCGTTACTCTGCCACTATCTTACCTCGGAGACAGAGTGGTCCTAGTGACCGGTCCTGATCCGGGCAAAGCCCGTCACACTGCGGTGGCTTTACAACAGAAAGGAGCACCAAGGGATGAGGAAAAATGGTTGTACTCGAGGGTTTGTGATCACGAGCCTGCTTATAGAGGCTCTTCAACGCGAGGTGGTAAGAAACGGTATTGTCTTCCATTCAATACTATACACGGCCCGGCTCTGGCCACCCCGGGCAAAAGTCAAGAATTACTTCAACTGCAGCCAATGTGGGCATACTCAAGTCTCATGCAATAAGGCCAAAAGATGTGGTGCGTGTGCGGGCACTCATCAGACCAGAGACCGCTCGAGGAAGTCGGTGCTCTGCTGCAACTGCGGCAAAGCCCATAGATCATGGCAAAAAGGGACGTGTCTAAATTTCGCATCATACAAGGCAAGTTTCCAGAGGGCGCGATATGAACCTTTGGAAAGAACGGTAGACCTAACAAAAGAGGATATTTAACCTGCGACAATTACAGCAATAAAAGCTGTAAAACCAATGGATGACCAAGGGTTTACACTAGTATCAAACTAGAGGGCCGGGCCGCCCGCGAAAACATCCTGTGGGTACAAGCCCACCAACTCAACTACCAGCGTAATCAGGGTCGAGCTTCTGATCACAGCCATCTATTTTAAGCACGCGAGGGCAGGGAAAGGATGGCGAAGTCACCTATAATTTTAGCTAGTCCTGTTTCAAACCAAAGGCACATAACACTTGCAGTAGGTAACGAAGGACTACAGAGATATAAAAATTTTAACAAGGGAAGAGGGTTTTTATCATAATGGTTTCTCCCTTATGTAAATTTATAGATAAGTTCATAGTCGCTGATGGGCCCATAGGGCGCCAAGTCGGGTTAAATGAAATCAAAATCAATTAATAAAATTGTCCTGATTTTGCGCCTTGAGACCCATGCAGATGTTATTGGAAGATATGAGCTTTGAGTAGGATGACTCAATTTGACGATTAGAACACTCACACTCAGATTTCATTTGCAGATATCACTCGAGGTTAACCCTTATGGCGTATAACTTCTTCCGTCCATACTCACCGCAGGGAAAAAGCTTGCAAAACCCATGTTTATCCGAGTGTGCTTTCATCATCCCACGAATACAATATCACGGCGAGAGAGTGTGGTGTGTGTGGGTATTTCTGGATTCGAACCAGCTTTCTCCCGCCTCAAATATGGTAGTTGTTCAAGCTACCAAGAATCTACTTCTGAGAACGGCCTGTGTGTTTGTGTTTATTGTGCTACTTGAGTCTATGACTATCTAGCACATTGGGCTCCTCTCTGACCCAGGCCACACCTTGTACAGTGCTCCTATCCTCTTTTGTTACTTGAAAGATCATTGATATATTCCCCTTGATGAATAGCCATTCAGCTCAGTATTTACCCGTGGAATTCAGCCACCTTTTCCACGGAACCTTCTACCCAAAAAAAATAAAAAAGGTAGCAATGGAAACTGCGTGCGCGGGAAAAAGTCTCAAAAAACCTGCAGCTCTAGCCAGGTGAAGCCTAGACACCGGGACCACATGAGGTGCGCATATTCATCTATATCTCCCTTTTTTGTAACAGTCGAGGTCGACTTGATCCAATCCACCATCTCCGTATCGGGTGCTGGGTACGCTCCGGAAACTCATCAGATGGCATCTCCTCCATGATCAAGGGTTGGTGATGAGTAGAGCTCCGACCCTACCATCTGATCTGATCGTGGTTAGCTTCATGGTAATGGTGATAGGGGAATGTGTTGAGAGATTAAGACGATACAGATGGCGAAAGCGATGGGGAATTCTCGTCGAAGTGAGGACTTTGTTACTCAATCTCGGCTCTGCAGACTCTACAGTGAGAGCTGGAGGTTCGTAGGGGACACCGCTGACAGGTGTTGAGAATAGTCCCCCGAGAACGGCCTGAATGGTGTACCACTGCACCATCCAGCCCGTAGACCACTTGATACTAACAAACATTGCCTGAGGCTGGATTAGGCTGAGGTGCAGAGATGGCAATATTGCGCCCGCAGTCCCATCTATTTGATGAAGGGTAAGACTGAACACCTGTACGCGATGCCCACTGCGAACTTGGGAGTGAAATATTTTCCCAGAGCCAAGTTCAGTCAAATTTCGCAATACCGATCAAGTTGACCCACGAGGCAATGATTCAAACTACTCTACCACGTCGTTTTTTCGCTCTCAACGAGTTTGACTCCTACCTAAGTCTCATCAAGTCTACAAGTACGACCAAGTACATCCTTATCTCAATGACTACACCTTTCGTCGAATTTCTCTAGCCTCAGCAGGTCGCCAAATACATGCCCACGCCGATATTCACACCCGACGGAGGAAACAAAGCGTGGCGCACAAACCTGGGAGACAGTTCTTTGGGGCGGAGGTGATACGGATCAGGACAAGTTCACGCGATGATGCAAAGGAAGGATATAACCTCGAAGGGTGTGAAATTCTGAAGTCTGGCATGGAGTTCTACGAGTTGGGCTTTGTGCGCGCCAAGACTTTGCTTGCGAGAGTGCAGCTGACACTACGAACACAAGTTAACGATGGAAGGTGTTGTGATCCGCCTCCTGGTAGTGTTCACTAGTATAGTCTAAGTAGCCTGGCCACCTACTCCACTTGGGAAGGAGACATCTCAGATCACATTTCGCGCGGAGGAAAGTAAAAGGATGATGGAGGCATGTTTGGATAACTCTGGGGTTTTGAGACGTTCCCTTGGGTGGGCATTGACAGACGAGGGCTGACTTGGGATGAAGAAAAAGCCACCATAACTTCGCAGTGGTACTTGCAAATGAAATTTAATACCTCTTTTCAGCATTCTCTCATGATTTGTGCTGCAGAACAATCTGAAGGTGGTGAATGATGTCAGAAAATTCTTGATCGACAGCAATTGCCGTGAAGTAGTTAGATCTGGCATCCAGATGTTCTTGTAGACATGGAGTTTTCGAGTAACCCGTGTAGTTTGTATGCCCTCCCGGCCAGAATGGTCATTTGTAAATATGTACCGATGCGATGTTATTGACGAGTTGAAATCAGCTTTTTTAGAAGGCGGAGGGGCCTTTTGTTTTGCTATCGTGATCTTTTAGATCCTTGATAGATCATGGCAAATGTCGGGATATGAAGAGGGCTTCCCTGACTACTATCATTGCGTTTGGTATCGTAGTATCTTTTCCTTTTGCCAGCGTCATTATCGATGACTTGATCGTCAAATGTATTGTCGGCGTCATATCTTCGATGGAGAAGTTGACTCATCTTAAAGTTTAATTGGTGACTCAATTTCAGCTCTACAAAATTTCCCGTGAAAGCTGCCTAGTGAGCGTCACCCTCAAGAACAACTAGCATGTAATTGTGATATCTCTATTGAAAATGTAACCAATAAAATAAGGAGCTGGTTAGTTGGATCCTAAAGTAGTCTTTCATAGTCTGGGACTCAGTTAAGACTTCAATTTTAAAAAAAACAATAATCAACGCGGTAAAAGCTGGACGTTCGAGGACACTGCTGATGGGTGACGAGTCCTAGTCCCATGTGTCGCCCATATTCAATTTTATTACATTTCCAAAAATCTCGATATAAATAAATGAAAGACAGTTTTGTATCTCACTCTTCAGGGTAAATCTTGTCGGCGGAAGTCTTCTCTCACTTCATACAAGAGAGTCATTGATAGAATTTAAAGATACCAATGATTTTATTCTTTTGTATCTAGCTATTATTTAAACAACGATTAATTAGAAAAGGGGACCTGAGTAACGTAGATTGTGTGTGTAGTGGGAAGATAGTTATTTTCTTAAATTAAATAAACTTGAATCTAATAGCTGATACAATTTGCGTTCGCGATACGCGCACACATTCATGATACACCCTTTGGAAAGTTTTCATACTCGCTCCATTTTCCATCTGGCCTAGCATCTGAACATTTTATATGCCGGCAAAAGATAATACAATTTTGGGCGTAGAAGTAATATCGAAAAGGGTTGAGTTATTTCGGCCGTAGTATATTGATTGATCCGTAAAGTCTCTAATGAAACCATCACGACATTTCCCTTCCTTCACCTACCTCAATCAACTTCGCTTGGTCTCCGCATATACATATCAATCGCAGCACTAAATGCTGCAAATCCAGCACATCCTACCGCTGCTGCCTGTGGTCCAGCCGGTGCAGCAAGCGCTCCCCCAGTAATACAGCCAGCTAATATGCCATTTACTACGTCATTCTTAGCACGAAATCCTTCTATACAACATTCAGTACCGGCGAAGATGGCACCGACTTTCCCAAAGTTCTTGGCAGATGATAGAGAGCGCGTTCCCATGTCCTTAAATCCAGCTTTGAGTTGTTCACGAAGAGGTAAAGACATAGTTGTCGACGCTGTGGATGATGTATGTAGAGGTGTATCGTATTGCATCGAGGCCATAAAGAGCCCAAAGACACCACCAAGGGCAAAGCCCATGACACCCGACATGACGGTTTTTGCCGGACAAGATTCCATTAATGTTTGCATCTGTGACACGATTAGTCGGGTCTAAATTCCATTATAATTCGTGACAAGGTTGCAGATTGATTGTTATATAATGTTCCCCATATCTGCTTGAAAGGATAGGATTCGTTAAATGATATATCTCTCCCTCACTAGGAGCATTTAGTTTGTGTACGCCTGATGCAGCCATTTAGATCCAATGTTCCTTTTCCCTTGGGTTGAGAAATTCTTTGGGCAATAGCGTCGACGCAGGGCTGCCTACGCCGCCGTATGCTTAGCATTGGATAGCCGCGAGTGACAGGTCCAGTATTACTAGAAGTCCGACTAATTTCTTGAATTCTTATATGCCTCACATATCCCCTGGTCAGGGCTCAGGCGTGCAGAAAAAGATAGTCCAAAGAAAGCGTTCACGCACACTTTTGATCGCAAGTTGGGTCTGATCATCCATCTCATTCGTCCCACCTATTTGACGTCCGGTAAAAAGTGGCCCGTTCATTCTAGCAGGATAAATCTTGTCTCGTTCTCTTTCTCTCTCCTGGTTTCGTCGCGGTCAAAGCTGAGGCAGATGGGTCAGATCATTTATCGTCGGTTAGTTTGAAATTGACAAATCTTCCCGGCTTACTCAGCCCTATATGTAGGTTACCGCCAAGCCTCAAGTCATTACTTCCACTGGCATGGTCTGAATGCTTATTGGTGGATCACTCTAGGATCAGCATATCGTGTTTTTATTTCAATCGTAGAGCCGTACAAATACCAACTCGGGGGGCAAGAATAAACATCTTTGCGCGGTATTCTCTATCAATATGGGAGTGAAATGTTCTCTCAAAGTCAAGTCCTATCAACGATCGCAATTTCAAAGCAGTTGGCCCACGAGGCAATGATTCAAACTACTCTACCACGTCGTTTTTTCGCTCTCAACGAGTTTGACTCCTACCTAAGTATCATCAAGTCTACAAGTACGACCTAGTACATCCTTATCTCAATGACCACACCTTTCTTCGAATTTCTCTAGCCTCAGCAGGTCGCCAAATACATGCCCACGCCGATATTCACACCCGACGGAGGAAACAAAGCGTGGCGCACAAACCTGGGAGACAGTTCTTTGGGACGGAGGTGATAGGGACCAGGAAAAGTTCACGCGATGATGCAAAGGAAGGAATAAACCTCGAAGGGCATGAAATACTGAAGTCTGGCAAGAAGGTCTACGAATTGGGCTTTGTGCGCGCCAAGACTTCGCTAACGAGAGTGCAGCTGACACTACAAACACAAGTCAACGATGGAAGGTGTTGTGGTCCGTCTCCGGTATAGTCTGAGTAGCCTGGCCGCCTACTCCACTTGGGAAGGAGACATCTCAGATCACATTTCGCGCGGAAGAAAGTAAAAGGATGATGGAGGCATGTTTGGATAACTCTGGGGTTTTGAGACGTTCCCTTGGGTAGGTATTGACGGACGAGGGCTGACTTGGGATGAAGAAAAAGCCACCATAACTTCGCAGTAGTACTTGCAAATGAAATCCGAGGCATGAGTGCTCTAATTTTAAATTGAGTCATCTGTTATATACCTATCCGATATCGTGTCATAGCTGGATAGCTGCATACGCAATTAGAATCTGACGCAAAAAAAATACATACTTGTTAAAGCCTAACAAATGACAATACCGCTCATAGCGGAGAGGATATCGGCTGATTGCCAATCTGTGCTACCATCTCGGAAGTTACAGCTGAAATATGCTTCCAAAGCTGAATCATAGTCACGACAAGGGGTAAATTTTAGAGTTTCCCTTAAAATGGGATTCGAGAGCAATGACATTGGCAAATCTTTGCTCTGTAAGTCAGCATGTATAGATGTCAGGGCGGTGCAATCTATTGACTTCAGCATTTTGCAACCAAATTACGAACCGTAGACAGGACCAAATCTATTCGCTACTCACATTACAAAAAACAGTTATCTTCACTAGCTCGAATTTTCCCTATAGATTATCCACAGTTTAACTCATCTCGGAACCCCTTCCACGATCAACTCATCATCTATCGAAGTTTATTAAAATCTTAATGTAAGATTAAATTGTGATATCTAACTTTCCGTAATTATCGCGCCATATGAGGGTACTATATCATCACCGTTATTCAGTGCCTCAATACTTCGACTTGCGATGAATCGCTGCCGAAGAAATATATATCTCATTTTGCCGTCACTTCAACCAGAGGATTTGTCAGAGACCGAGGTCCCAATGCCTCAGTCCTATGGGTTTCGATGTATACGTTACCTCCATGGCTAGAAGTATGGCGCCAAATAGGTAGGAATTGAGAGATGGAAAATTTACAAGATTTCTGAGATGGCGGAATTTTTAGAAGGATTAAGAAGATGCTACAATTGAGAACAAAAATGGAAGCAAACCAGATGGGGCATCCAATGAAGAAAGCGACTCCCGAATGAGGTCAAGAGATTTCAGGACAAGGCATTGCTTGGTTCGAATAGCAGGGAAAGGTTCAAAAAATGTGAAGGTGTTATGGGCTTGAGTGCCAAGTAGCCGAGTTTGGATAGGAGTTTATGCTTCGGTACCTCAAAGTCAGGCTCTCTACACGTTTTGATTTGCTATAATCCTACGCATGGGCGAAGTCTGGGCTTGTCCGTGCGTTCAGGCGGAACGGGGTCTGAGTTTTTAACGGTAATTAACCCAATTCAACCTGGCCTCACTCTTGCACAATCTTCCACGGTAATTTATAGAGTCCCAATTACCTAGTATGTTGATAAATATACATACCTGCAGGTTACTCATCGATAATCTCGGGATAACCAGATGATACAACTTACGTCAACTAAGAATAATGATAATTATAGGCTAGCCGATATGCTGGCGCATCCTAAAATGGTCAAGAATGTAATACGGTTCCGTTCCCTAATCAGCGCCCAACAAATATAAGATCTGAAAACGATACATCCCAACGTACCCTCTTACACTCCTCTATAGTGTTTACAGACAAGCATCTTTCCTACCCAATACCACGAGATTTATAACTTTGTTATGAATTCCATGCACGGTTGCTCAGAATAGGCGCTTCAGTGCATGTCCAAAGAGATTTATTTCATCTTCATGATCCGAAGTCTTACTAGTCCAGTCATTCTACCTTATATTGGATGCAGGATCAGAAAGCAGGTCGCGAGTTTTGTTCTGTCAATGAGATTGTTTGATAGTGTCAAAGTGTTAACTGTTCAGAGTATTATGGAATGGCTGTAGTGCTTAATAAAACCTGATTCCGACTAGGCTTGTAGCTAAATGAAATATAGAATGTTCGTTCTCTGAATCTCAACAAGTTTTGAACCAAAATGAACCAATAAACCCCCTTCAAATCGATTAGTCTTCAAGAAATTTTGTATATTCACTCATGGAGAATGACTATATTTTGGCCCTGGTAAAATTTTAAAATCTCAATCTCAAAGATGGCACCGCTTAAAGGCTTTCATTCCCCTTGCATCTAATATCGACGGTAACAGCAATTTTCTACACCAGTTTTACTCCAGGAATACTCACTCCCCACCTCCAGAGCCTATGTTTGCATCAATTATGAGTATCAGAGGCTTCAAGCTCTCTTGAATTTGATCAAAATCCAAGATTAATATTTCCAATGGCTATCACATATTTAGTAGATATGCCAGACGCAGCAGGGTCCACATCTCTTCTCCTACAAGTTTACCGGTAATTTTGCGTCTTATTGAAACAAAAGGAGCCAAACAACCATTAGTTGTACTATCTACGGACTAGATTAAGAAATTCCTTTGCGTCAATAACAAAGCTTTATTACATACAAGACACTGGTTCATGAACTAGTAATATTTTGCCAACTACCGCTATCCTTTCTATCTGTCAATTATCGGTGCCAATAAATGCCTTGTGTCATCAATAAGTACGAGTTGATAAATCACCAATTAAACATCCCCTCATCAACCCGGCCTTTGGCTCTTAAAAGGTCTCGACGATTTACACAAAATATTGTGGACGCAAACTAGAAGCCGAAACTATCGCGGGGGCAAGTCTATCGGGATAGGATAATTATTTTGTTACGACGTGCACTGTGCCAGGTCAAGACCGCCGTCTATAGGATGTATCCTCATTGTCACGGATCAGGCATGAAAAGCAATAAGCATTTGTGTAGAAGATGGTAGTTCATATTTTCTCCAGTGGTGAGCTATCTGGATGAAAGATAAAGTATTTATATGTTCCTTCTAGTGCTCACTTCGGCCATCATTCTAAGGAATTATCGCGTCTTATGAATTCTAATCTTTCCATGAGCTTCTCGCTTCGTCACTAGGGGCTTATATTGATTTTGCCGAGTTCCCAATAAGTCTCTTAAAGGTTCTCTCTTTAGTGCGTGAAGATTCCTAATTATCTCTGCTACAGTCTTAAGTATTCCACTAGATGGATATGCCAACTACTTGTAAAGGGTCCAAGGAATTCGGAAGTACTCGAAAGTCGTTGACTCAATAGGAATTAATTATTTTTCCTTGGGAAGCTAAACTACTGTATCGTATCCTGCCTTTTATGTCTTCCGCGTACGCTAGTGTTAACTCCCCCCTTTGGCCATATGAGAATACTCCTTTCTCCTGGCTATCTTCCTTAGCTCCCCTTTAGTCTATCCAGGGGCGTTGCTCTGCCACTACCTTACCTTAGAGACGGAGTGGTCCTAGTGACCAGTCCCAGTCCGGGCAAAGCCCGTCACACTACTCATACATAAGAGTCCAATGGAATATTCTCGTAGCGTATAATTGGAAATCAAGCATTGACTGCGCTAGCTAGCGTAGACTTTAGGCATCACCCGGCTCACTAACAGTCACAAATGTGATGACTAAGATAGAGTACAAGCGAATAATACTTGATGAAGGATATAGGCATAGAGATCAGAGATCATTTTTACAAGAAAAACTGCGCAGCTTTCCACGCTACCTTTACTATCAATTTGACATTGTGAACCTAATTTTTTTATTTTCTTTACCCTCCCTTCATCTATTCACTTTCTGTGCTTCAACATGGCGGATGTGGGTGCTGGTGTAGGTAAATCCAGCGGTTTCGACGCGCCGCAAAAAGCGACAATGGCCACCACAAACGAAGGCAGCGGAGCGCAGACAGCTTCAAAAGACAAGAATCCTAATTTTTTTTGGGAAATTACTACATAAGGACAGACTGATCGTGATGGGAGAGATGGAAGGGAAGGACTTACACTTCATGGAGGATGTGAGCGAGGCCGTGAAGGCTTTCAACGTGCACAAAAGGGCCTGGACGGAAATGTCCCAAATGAAGTCTCTAATCGAGGAGAGGATGATGACACTAGAGGGGGTTGTCAAGAAGAGCCTCGTGGATCCTGTCCGTAATGCTGCATCAGGAGTGGCAGCAGGGATGCCGCAACTAAGGACTTACGCGTCGATCGTAGTTCTACATATGAAGAAAACGGCGGTACGAATTAGAATCGACGGAGCAGATAAATTGCAGCCAGAAGAGCT